ACAGGTAATAGTGCAGGTGAGAGACACCCTGAGGCTGCAGGAGGGCAGGAGAAGCCAGGTTCGTCCAGAGCTACCAGGAGGAGCTGCCCTGCCTGCTGGGTTTCCCCCGTAGGGAGGAAGTGGGGAGGAAGGAGCCAGTGATCTTGCAGGGGGCAGGCCAGGCAGCCCAGCAGCAGGAAGGCCCATGGGAAGGAGGGTAATTTGACAGCAGCAGAATTAGCATTGATGGAGCAGAATGTGGGGAGACCAAACAGATTGCACCGTCAACCACAGCCATCCCAAAGAGGGAGCCCCAGGGCTGACCCAGGGCTGATGAGCAGAATTAATCTGGGCACAAATACGTTCATGGGTTTCTAGGCAGTGATCTTTCTGAAGTTCTTCATTTGCACCCCTCAAGCTTTGACAGAAGGCAAGCTCAAGCTAAAGAAGATGTTGGGAAGGCGGCTCAGTGGTAGAGCCCTTGTCCAGCCTGTGACAGATGCCAGCACCACAATTCTGATAGTATTAGTATTAATATATTATATCATTATTATAAATAAGTAAATAGATATCATGGTTTAGAAAAAGTGTGGGTTGAAATGCAAACTCAGCAAACGTCTGTGTAGCCCCCTCGTCTGTGGCAGAGGAAATACACAAAATGAAGAAGAGATGTTGACTGGGGGTTGGCCCACAGTGTCTTCCTGGGTCTGCCCGCGGCCAATGGCAGAGCGGAGAACATATCACAAAATTGCTTTCTCAGTTCCAGAAGCTGGGTCAGTGAGGTCCCCTGTAGCTCTCACAAGGGATGTGTGTGTGAGAGAGAGAGACACACACAAGTCTCCCTCCCAAGGAGCCTGACGTGGAAGACAGGGGCAGTCATCAGAAATGGTCTTCAAGCATCCAGGTTTGCAAAGGCGGATGGGAAATGCCCAGAAATTCTTGACATCCCCCCACATCCGCCCAGCAACAATGCAGGAAATGGAGCCCACTATCTTCAGCAGACTGAGGAGAACCGTTTCCTTAATGAACACCCCCCACACCCCCGACAGTGCTGCGCGCTAGTCAGGGGCCTTGCTCTCCAGCCTTCCCTCAAATACTCCATTGCCCACATTTCCTTCCTTCAGTCTGGTATAAAGTCCAGCAATTTAATCATCAGCGCGCAGCCTCCAAGGCACCCGCTGCATTCGGCCTTCACAGCAGTCCTGGAAAGTGTCTGGCAGGGGCCACCTTCCTCAGGAGCCGCTGGGCAGAAGGAAGCCAGCGGCTGGCGCACAGGATGGCCTGTTCTGCTCGGTTAAGCAAAACCTAGCGCACCAGACGTTTTAATGCTTTCGGCCGCTCACAGTAACATATTTCTACTTAAAATAAACAGAGCCTGCGGCCATCCTCACCTATCCTCCCCTCCTCTATGCACAGTATCAAGTACACCGAAAAATGGTTTTTACCTGCGATTACCTCACTTAGTTTACCAGTTCGCGCTCCCATCAGCCTGCAGCCTGCTCGCACTCTCTTCCCAGCCTCAGGCTCACTCCCCCACTCAATTAAAAGCATCACAAACATACTCACTCTGTTATCTGTTCTCTCTTAGCTCAACTGCACCAGGCAGGGAACAGGCCAGCCACAATTCTCCTATATATTATATATACACTATGTAATTTCCCTCCAGGGAATCACTTTCTTGAAGGGATGGGCGGCTAGGTGTCCCTATAAAACCTTTTTTGGCTTTTGGTGATATATCACTTCAGGTTCTATATGATACACATTCAAGGATTTTAGAAATGTCTCCATAGTTTTGGAGAGGGGGGAAAAAGTAATTATTTGGTTTGTCTTTTTGAAGCCACAAATAAATAAATAAATAAATAAATAAATAAATAAATAAATAAATAATAGGTTCAATTATCAGATAAGAGGTTTAATAACCTTGTAGGAATCTAGAACAGTTTTAGAACATAGCTATTTTCAAAAACCAGTAAATGTTAACTTTTATTAAAACCAAGAGATACATAGGGGTTTAAGGTGACTGATGTACTCAGAAGGGTTAATGTGACTTGGTCTCTGTCATAATTACATATTCTGCTGGGGGGAAAAGGCCCAAGCTAATGATCTGGTGGATGAGGGATTCCCCCACCAGCTCACCCCCTGCAAAAGGAAGCCCACTAAAGGCCAAGTTAATTAATGGGTCTAGTACATTCTACCAGAGAAGAAGATGAGGTGTAAACCAGAATAGCAGAGGCCTAGCTCACCAGCCACGGTGTCAACTGGCTTAGCACTGACATACATAAGAATGGAGGGCAGCAGAGAAAACACAAAGATCCCTCCTGTTTGTTTCTTGGAATTCATTCACTGAATTTTATTTGGAAAGGAGCTTTAGAAATCAACCATATTTTTAGGTCTGGCTGCAGTGGTGCACACCTTTAATCTCAGCATTGGGGAGGCAGAGGCAGGCAAATCTCAGAGTTCCAGGTCAGCCTGGTCTATCTACAGAGCGAGTTCCAGCACAGCCAGGGCTGTTACACAGAGAAACCCTGTCCAGAAAAACAAAAAACAAAAACAACAACTCTATTGTCTAATTTCTGCATTTTTAGAAGAAACGTACCAATTGAGGTTCATTTGAAAAGAAACTAGATAGCCTATTAAAGACTTCTCAAACCATAAAAAAGTTAATACTGCACACTTTTTAAAGAAACTAGATAACCACCTAATTCACAGTTTATCTGCAAGATTATTGATCAGTTGATCAATCAGATGATTGACCACAAAACAAAATGGACCCCAAGGGTCCTAAATAATGATCATTTAAAATTATGCAATTTTTGGAAAAGTAGGACTCTATAAGCCTTGGAGAAAACAACAAAAATCACTGTGTAAAATGATACTATATAAGTAATATGAGAAATGCATTATATTCAATTTGGGAATATGTATTATTATTTATTGAGAGAGGGATTCCCTGTGTAGTTCAGGCTGGCTTTAATTTGCTCCACAGCCAATGTCCATGCTTGATTAGAATTCACCAACTTCCCCCTGCTTTAGGCCTGAGGACCTCATACCTGTATGGTATTATTTGCATAATTTTCATTTTAACTTAGAATTACTATTGGGAATATTCTCCCCCCCCCAATTCCAAACTCTAAATGTCAGCTGCTTGAAGAAAAGTAGGGGAGGGGGGAGAGGGAGGGAGAGAGAGAGAGAGAGAGAGCCAGCCAGCGGCTCTAATCAAGGGTGTGGTGCCTTAAACCTTGAACCTTGAACAGAAGACGATAACTTTTATAGAAACAGTGGTCTCCATACAGAGAGGACCTGGAAGTATCTGAATTACGGCGGCATTTGTAACTAATAAGTACTGAGGATATAACACCCGGAGCTCAGCGCCTGGCCAGGGGTGCAAGGGACTCCTAATAAACCCGCAGTCAGACCCTGTCCCATTCCCGTACAGCTTCATCTGCCTCCGCTGTTCTCAAACTATACAGATAAAATTACGCTTAGCCAAAACCAAGTACGCTTTAAAAATAAAAAGTAAAAAAGACACGTGAGTGAGGCAGAAAATCCAATAAAATGTGGTTTTCCCTCTGTAATTTGGAAGTTCGAAGTTTCTAGTTTTGCCTTTTTACATGATAAATCAGTATTTAAACTTTCTAAGCAATAATATTTTCATATAGGCAGCTTTTCAAAAAATATTCGTGAAATAGACAATACAATATTTAATATCATCATTATTTTAGCGCCTATCCACATCGAGTTCTGACTTCGCCATCTCAATCTCTTTTAACTACCTAGCCCTGCTCTTTATTTTGAACCGACGTCCACTCTTCGACATCCCAAAAGGCTAATTTTTACTGCCTTTAAAAAGCACGTTTAGCCCAGCTGCCTTTCTTTCTGGGGACATTACAAGTCTACTCGACTAGTTCCTCTCTCCCTTCTCAACCAAGAAGCTTTAAAGAAAGGCGCTCTCGCGCTCTCCTATCTGGCTCCGCGGAAAGGGACCGCACCGGACCTCTCGCCGCTCCGCCTGCTGTGCTGGGACCTCAGCTTTGACCTCTGGATGACAACGGTCTCCACAGTCAATGCTCCTAAAATCTGCTGGTCCCTGATCGGCCCACCGCGGGTTTTTCACATCCCAAAGGAGGCTGATTTGGAGGTGCGCGTACCTCAACAATTCCTGAAATCACATCTCTTAGTCCAAACTGTCAGTCCTTTCTAGTTTCACAACCTAAAGACAGAACTTAACGATTCCGAAACTTAAAGCTATCTAGACCCTAAGCAGCCCGGGTCGCTTTGGGTCACTCACGCCGACGACCCGGGGGGACCTCGCACCCGGCCCGCTCCCACAGAGGCCCAAACCGGGAGACGGAGCCCAGCGAACCGCTGGGAAGAACCCGCGCTGGCAGAGCGTTTCCCCGACTTCCCTGGGACGGTCCCAAGCGGGTCCGGGAATCAGAGCTGGCCCTCTTCTGGGCTCTGTCTGCTCGCCGCCGCCGCCGGCACGCGACCCTCCCCAAATTGGTGCTCCTCCTTTGCTCTAGTGGCGCGAGAGCATGGACAGTTACCAGCATCTCTAACGCCCCCCTCCTCTGTCCAGCCCCCGGCAGCCTCTCCGACGTCTTGCTTGCTCCAGATAGTCCTTGAGGACCCAGCCACCGCCTGGGAGAAGGCTCTGGATGCCAGAAAGGTCCACGCGTGTGGCGATCTGCTCACCCAGAGTCTAGGGAAGGAGACCCTACCCAGGAGCGGGACAGGGGACTAGCGGCTCCAGCTGCAACCGGCAACCCGACTGTGACCCCAGCGTGGAGCTAAGGAGAGTCTGGACGGTGATGCCCGCCGGCCCAGGGCAGCCACTTCCAGCGGCACCCATTCCGGGAGGTTAAAAAAAAAAAGTGTGTGTCCCCAGGAGTGCCGGCTGCAACAAGTGTCCCCGGCTCCCGCCGGAGCTCGCTTCCCGGGCTGCAGCCTCGCTCCCCCGGAACACCCCGCGGCTGCCCATCCCCGCCGAGCTCCGACTCAGGGTCTCTGGCGCGCCTCACCTGTGAGAAGCAAACAGCCGAGCAGTGCGCACAGCAGGACCGCGGTGTCCCAGCAACTGACCATGGTGAGAGCGACGCGGCCTGCTGGCCCGATGCCCGCGCTCTCCGAGGCCGACAGCGCAGCCGCCCGAGCCGGTCCCCTCGCGCTCCTGCCTGGCGCCCCGAGAGCCTTGCTCCGCGCCTGCAGCCCAGGGGGATCTTGGCCGTCCGGCGTCCGCTCGCCGCTGCGCTTGAGTCCCGGAGCCCGCTCCGAGCCGCCGCCGCCGCCGCCGCCGCCGCTGCCACTACTGCCGGGGAGTGTCCGCCGCCGCGCTCCGAGCCTCCTGCGGACCTCGCTGAAGCGCAGCCCAGGGCGGGGGCGATTTATAACCTTCCCCAGCCCACTTCCTACCCCGGCACCTCCTTCCAGTGACGTCAAGGGGTCCCCCACCCCTCATCCGCCTCCCCACCTACCCTCTTCTTCCTCCCGGAGGGGCGGGGGCCGGCGAGGGCGGATGGCCCGGAGCAGGAGCGCGCGTGCGGAGGCGCTGGACGCGCGGGTCCCCCGGCAGGTTCTCAGGTTCAGGGTCCTTGCTCCGTGCCCTCCTGTCCCCGCCCCCCCTGCCCATCGCTCTCAGGAAATCCTTGCCCGGTTCCCTCCACCGGGCTTACTCAGCTCTGGTGACCGCCCGAAACTGAGGAGGGGACCGGCTAAGTGCACCGCCCTGCCCCTGGGGCGGGAAGTCTTATCCTAGGGAAGCTGGCCGCGCCTCTGCGACAGGGTCCCTGGCACCGAGGAACGAGGCGCAGTCGGGCCCTCTCCGGAGCGGTCTCGGTGGTCTCTGACCCGGCCAGACTGTCCCCAGACGGCGAAGGAAGGCGCCAGAGACCCTCTGCATAAGGCACTTGGACCCGGAGTGTCGGGGGGGGGGGGGGGGAAGGACGCTTTGCCAGGCACCTTCGGAAAGAGTGCGGGCCGTGCAGGTCCCAGGGGAGGGAGTCTGTGTCTTTTTCGGCTGCATTAATGCACCCGCCCAAGTCATTTCCTCAACCCTCTGCTTCCTAGAAGCAAAACAAGGAATAACATGTTACCTTTTTAAAAAGACAAGGCGTGAAACATGCTCCTGCAACTCGTAAGGGCCAAGAACTTGAACTCTGTGTCTGAAATGCCGGATGGAAAAGAAATCTTTTTTGGTTGGAGCTGGCCGGCCAAGATGACTGACCTGAATGTTCTTGGAACAAAAACGGGTGAAATTAACTTGAGGCACTAGATCATTTACGATGACACTAATTCCACGTTGTTCCTCAATTATGTATCCATTAACTCAAAGGCTGAAGTCGTCCCGGCCTCCACGGAGCAGCCCAGTCTTGTCCTTGTAAATAATGCAGGTTTGAAAAATAGCTCATTGGAACCTGCCTGATGCCCATGATAAAATAGCTCCTAAATGGGACCAGAGGCTCTTCCTGAAGGACTAGACTAAATCTCCGGCAGGGAAGGTTGCGCAACCCGAGTTGCCTCACTGCTAAGAGTTTTGGGCCACCACCACACGCAGCTCCACTTAGGCACCGGGAGCCGCCAGCCGCCGCCGCAGAGCCCAAGCGAGCCGGATTCCTCTCTCCTTCGTGGCCCAGGAGAAAAGAGAGGCCGCTATGAACCGCAGCTCACCTGCGGGCTTCCCCACCCGGTTCTGATTTCCCCATACTCCTCCACTAGGGTCAGGGCTCCTGCGCTCTGCCTCCTTGCGCCGCGCTTAGATTCTCCTACCGAAAATCATGCACGGAATGGCCAGCCACTCCAGGTAATTATCATTCTCCTCCACGAACTCTCCAGCACTAGTCAGTTTGAGACACACCCACAGCTTCAAACTGTCCCTCTGCCTCTCCTCCGAGCCCTTGTCACGCCCACACATCTTCCACGAAGGTACGGCCCTTAAGCAGCGGCAGGTGTCTGGGCTGGGGAGAGCTTGTCATTGGGGAAGCCTACAGCTGGAGGGGCTTGGCGCGCGGGCCAACCAAGCAAGAAGCCAAGAGGTTCACGATGCTGGAGGGGTGTGGAGCCTGCCACAGGCACAGGAAACACACATGGCCACTGCAGGAGAAGACCAGGGATGGGGCACTACTGACTTGAGGGGGGGGCGCCCCATGTACATCCCGCAAAGGTTTAGTTTAATATGTTGTTTTCAAAAGGCATTTTGATATTTTTAAATACTCAAGGAGACACTTAGGAACCTGTTGCCAGAAATGATCCCACAATGAGTTTATGAAGCCAGACAGGTATTTGACTGACAGCCAAAACAATTTATAACCTAAGATGTGCATCGACAATGCTGAAAAATTGCTCAATTATCTAAGACTAATGGACTCGTAATTGAACCTAACTTAGGTCTGTGTGCTGTGGTCCTCCTCCGTAAGTTCCTCCGACTCTTCCTTTGAAAATGTCCCAGGCTTTTAATTACGCCAGCAATTTCCTCACTGCTACTTCTGTCGGTTGCATTAGTTGTTTTTTTTATTATTATTGTTATAAAGAATTTAAAAATGATACAAACTGTTTCATTGGTGATTTCAATTTCACTTTGATGTGGAGAATAAAGGAGTGAGACCTAGCCCTTCTCCCGAAAGTGCTAACACCTTTCAATAATGGGCTACAGGACACTTCAAGTCACTCATGAAAGAGGTTCACTAGATCCTACTGATGGGGGAGATCAAATTCAACACGTTTGGTATGTATGAAAGGCTATTCGCAGTGGACTATCTGCTTGCTTCCTGCCCATGTACAAAAGGACATTTCATCTCCTGCTTGCCTGGCAAAACCAGACACTCTCTCGTGTTATCAGCTACATTCTCTTGACGTTTCTTTCTTGCCCCTATTCAGGAACGCACTGTCTCCCGGCCAACAGCTTAAACAGTCAAGACTGAACAAGAGGGCTGGAGCGCCAGGAAGAGTGAGAGGAGGGGAACTCGGCATTCTTCCCACAAAATAAATTAATTAATTAATTAATTAATTAATTAATTAATTAATTAATTAAATAAAATAAAAAGGCAGGACACACTAAGCGTGGTTGTTGGAGTAAAAGCCCCATCGATATACAACACAGAGCTTGTTTACAAGCAGCTGATGATCTTATCAAACCCTTCTCCATTGCTGGAATTAAAAATAGACAAACAAACCTCCTTTGACGTCTTCTTGGGACAGTCAGGCTCCTCGGTCTAAGAACACCCTTCCATATCCCTTGCCGGGAGTTCTGATGAGTGCCCAGACCAGGTAGTACCTTACAGCTTTGTTGATCAGAAATGAATCAGCCTTCTAGAACAACAACAGGCAAGGTCTTGCTTATTTCAGCCACTCAAGTCCCCGGGTTCAATCCAGCAGTAGACCGTGGGATGTCTGATGCGCACAGGGCCCTGGATTTGGTCCCCGGCCCTGTAAGGAGAGCAGGGGAGTGAGGTCCTTCTATTTACCTGCTGAGCCAAGTCCTGGACTTCTCTTACAACCTCCTCTTCACGGCTCTGATAACCCCTCAAGAACAATGACTGTACACTCACAAACGCCACGACTTTATCTCTAGCCTCCCTGCCTATGTCTCCTTGACCACTGCTCAAATGACATGTTCTAGAAATTTCTCCCAGCTTCCCTTGGAAGGGCCCATCTTATTAACATCCCTGAAGGTAGCACATACTCAGGATTGAACAGGCATCATGACCACAATTTCCCTTCTTGTAAAGTTAAGGGTTTTACTTTTATTTTTGTTTTTGTTTTATAGACAGGGTCTTGCTAATGTAACCCTGGCTGACCTGGGATTCACTGTGTAGACGAGGCTGTCCTCAAACTCACAGAGATCTGCCTCCTTCTGCCTCCCTAGTGTTGGGATTAAAAGCTTGTACCACCATATCTAGCTAAGATTGATTGGTTATATACTTAATTATGAGAGAGAGAAAGAGAGAGAGAGAGAGAGAGAGAGAGAGAGAGAGAGAGAGAGAGAGAGAGAAACAGTGTGTGTGTAGGAACCCACAAAAAGCTAAGTGCTTCTCCTGAGCCAGGAGAAAGGTTTGTGGAAAGGCCTAGTGATGAGCAAAGAGGACCAGGGGTTCAGACCGACAGTGCACTGGGAGGGTGGAAGCTGGGGGGAGCAGCAGCCAGAGCCCCCTGTACATGCACAGCATCGGCTTCTGCTTCCACTGCCCAGGGATCAGGGGCCCAAGACACCCTCACTCCTGTGAAAAACCTTCCCTTGCTCCTACCTCCCCTGACCAGCTTGGCGCTGGTGCTGTTGATTAGATCTTTGGGATTTATTCAGGGCTCTGGCTGTTCTTTGATGCTGCTTGCCCAGCTCTGGACTCCTGATTGGCTCTGTTCCTCCTCCTCCCAAGGGCCACGAGAGGTCCCCTGTACTTCTGCCACCTGACATCAAAGCTGTCTCTTCGATGGACACCTTCGTGTCTAGGTCTCTTGCGGGGCTTCCTCTTGCCTGAGACGCCTATGGCCTTTCCAGAACGGAAGCCATTGCCCGCTTGCTTCTACACACAGCCTGTCTGCATGGGTCCTTGCAGACCCTCATCCAAACGCTCCCACCCTGGTCCTTTTTTCTTTCAGCGTGTCCAGTGGCCTGCTGAACTCTTTTGGCCTCTGAGTCTACCATTCGGTGGATTTCTCCTTCTCTTGCTGATAACCAATCATGAATATGATAGCGTGCTTTCTGGGTTGTCATGGAAACCACAGGCCAGTTGCTTCAGACTCATGTCCCCGGGGCTTGTAACAAGCTTTACATTTTCTTGTTTTAAAATCATTTACTGTATCAAGCTGATAGTAGAAAAATAAATAAATAAATAAATAAATAAATAAATAAATAAATAAATAAATATGAAAAAAATTGTTACCATGGGCATCCAAGCCTCAGACATTTCTGGCTCATTCCTGTTCTTGGCACAGCAACCTTTGTCTTCCTGAATAAATTTCTTTATAAATTAAAAAAAAATCATTAGGGATAGAGCCAAATAGTTTAATAAGAGAGTGAATAAGTGAGAGGTCTGTGGAAGTTCTGTAGATCAAGGAAAGCCAAATTATTCCTTTGTGCCAGCTTTCCCAGGCACATGCTCACCAAGGAAAGCTGCATGTAAACCAATCCTCAGTCACTGCGTCCTGCTCGGAAACAGTGATCTTGCAAGAGAGAATTAGACCACCAGGATTTATTCAAGAAAAAAAGAGAAAAGGTTAAAAAAAAATAACCAGATGTAGCTGGAAGTTTTCCTGTGTCCCACCCGGCCCTGCGGTCCCATAGCCATTTATAAAATAATCACTCAGAGGCTTAATATTATTTACAAACTGTATGGCCTATGGC